CCCCCCGCAGACCCCTTTATACATCCAGAATTCCTATTATGTGACTATTGAAAAATATATAAATCACCATAAAATCTCACTGACTGAAATAAAAAGATCTTTTTGATATTGTTAAAGGATCAATAACTAAAGCAGAGGGTAGGTTTGTTGGCATGTAATTGTCACCTCAATATCATCCTACACAATCAACACAAATATGTGTAAAATATTGACATTTTTATATGTTTCATACCACTGAAACAGCCTGGGGGGGGGGATCACCGATGCGTACAAAGTGCGTACAGGACATTTAAAAAAGATCTTCATGTTCATTTTATGTTTACCCAAGTCCTCACTAAATTAGGAAAAGTCATGAAATACTAAGTAAAACAAATTATGTGAACCATTTTTGTTAGATACGTTAAACATTGAATGGGGTCACACTGACCCCAAGGATAACGGGAGGGTTAAAAACAGGGTTTAGCACAATTGTGGCGCTGTTTGCTGGCAGTTTAAATCAATGCAACTTATGTCGCAATTGTTTGGATGATTTGCCAATATCTTGAAGAATTGAATTCGAAAAACTGTATNAGTAAAACAAATTATGTGAACCATTTTTGTTAGATACGTTAAACATTGAATGGGGTCACACTGACCCCAAGGATAACGGGAGGGTTAAAAACAGGGTTTAGCACAATTGTGGGATAAAACATTTTGCCGCTGTTTGCTGGCAGTTTAAATCAATGCAACTTATGTCACAATTGTTTGGATGATTTGCCAATATCTTGAAGAATTGAATTCGAAAAACTGTATCAAAAAGCCATGATTTGCTAAACCTTCCTCAAGTGTGGGATACAACGTTTTTGCTGGCAACTCATATCTTAAATGTTTGGATAAGTTGCCGGCCGAAGGGTGGAGTTCACCAAAGATGTTACCGACTCCAATAAGAATAGTTTCTTTCATAGTCTGGGAGTACTGATTATACAGCAGTGGTTGTAATCAGTGTATCGTTGGGGTCCCCACCCTTTCCTGAGAGTACCACTGCTGCTTCTCTTTTTACGTGATGATCTGTCTGGTTGGCTGGGGAGCACGCTCACTTTCAGCCCACAGACAAAGTGCTTTCAAAGGGAAATGGTCTCGTCTCTACACAAAAAAACCAGCCTCTTTTAACCTCCCCTCCCTCACCCCGTCTGCCCTTTTCAGCCTCTCTTTTCTCCCCTTTCACACTTACAGACACGCGACGGTCACTCCCTTGTCTGCTGTCCGTCAGCGTCGTTGGCCTATCACTAAAAAAAAGAGGGGTTTCTCCCCCTCTTTTTTGGGGGGAGATCATTAATCATCCAGTGTAGGACAGGAGGCCCCTTAATCCAGCCCTCCTTCGCCCCCCACACCCTCCACCCCTATCCCCCGTGGTGTTATCAAGTTTCAGAGGTTGTAACTGTAGCACAATAAACAGTGGGGGAAGGTGGAGGAAGGGGGATGGAGACAGAGAGACAAGAGAGGACAAAATGTCATTTCCTCTCTACGTTTTATTGGTGGAGGTAAACGCGCCTCCAAAAGTGCATCCATTTGGAGGATTGGCTCTTAAATTAGTCATAGCAGTTGGAAAAATGTGCAGCTATAGGCAGAACAAGCGAGATATTTGGATAAAGTTGCTCCTAATTGGAAATTAAAACCATTACAGTCTTCTTTAAATAAATCTGCAACACAATGCAAAATGGACAAATGTGCTCTAAATGCCCATTTCCTAGATTTGTTTTATTGCTGCATTCTGAGTTTAACACGCCTCCAAAACTGCATCCATTTGGAGAATGGGCTTTTTAATGAGCGGGATAGTTGGAATAAGTTGCACCTATTTGGACATTAAAATCATTACAGTCTACCACGAATAAATCTGCAATCCGACAGCATGCAAGATGGACAAATGTGCTCAAAATGCAAAGTGTTGGATGGAGACAAGAGAGGACAAAACGTTTTTTCCTCTCTATGTTTTATTGGTGGAGGTAAACACGCCTAAAAAGCTGCATCCATTCGGAGAACTAGCTGTTTAATGAGCGGGATATTTGGATAAAGTTGCACCTAATTGGAAATTAAAACCATAACAGTCTACTTCAACTAAATCTGGAATCCAACAGTATCCAAAATGGACAAATGTGCTCTTAATGCCCATTTCCTAGCTACCTTTTATTGCTGCATTCTGAGTTTAACACGCCTCCAAAACCGCATCCATTTGGAGAATTGGCTTTTTAATGAGCGGGATATTTGGAAACATATGGGAGATACAAAACATGACAGTCTTCTTTAAACAAATCTGCAAACCAACAGTATCCAAAATGGACAAAATGTAATCTAATGACACGCCTCCAAAGCAGTGTCCATTTGGAGAGTTGGCTTTTCAAGGAGTCAGAACACTTGGACAAAGTTGCTCCTGATTGGACATTAAAACCATTAATGTCTACCTCTATTAAATCTGCAATCCAACAGCATGCAAAATGGACAAATGTGCTCAAAATGCAAAGTGTTGGATGGAGACAGAAAGACAAGAGAGGATATAATGTAATTTCCGCTACGTTTTATTGGTGGAGTTAAACACGCCTCCAAAGCTGCATCCATTTGGAGAATTGGCTGTTTAATAGTTGGAATGAGTTGCACTTAATTGGAGTTAAAAACCATTACCAGTCCACCTCGAATAAACCTGCAATCCAACCAAATGGTCCGATGTGTTCCCCAGTGTGTTCTGCTGTTAACACACCCAGCTGCTGCCCCTTTTCCAGAAGTTGTGGGGTGTTAACTAAAGGGAAAATGAGGCTGTATCAAAGCGCCAGAGAATGTTCCTATTGTAGTGTGCTGTTTGTACAGAGGTCCCGCCTGTTATAGGGCAGTGTGAGGCTGACCGGGGGAGTAATATAATGCATACATGGATCCCCCAGAGCCCATTCATGCTGTAATTGGTGTGGACAGAGCTCTGGGTCTCAGGGTTACAGTCAGGGAACTTCCTCTAATGTCCTGCTGGGAGG